GAGGGATAGGATAGAATAGGAAGGAACGATAGGATAGAATAGGAAAGGATGAGATAGAATAGAATAGAATAGCAAGGAATAATAGAATAGGAAGGAAAGGAAAGGATAGGAAGGGTAGATAAGAAGAATAGGATAGGATAACATGGGATAGGATAGGAAGGATAGGATAGAATAAGAAGGAACGATAGGATAGAGTAGGAAAGAAGGATAGGATAGAATAGGAAGGATGGAATAGGAAGTAAAAGATATGAAGGATAGATAGATAGATAGATAGAAGGAAGGATAAGATAGGAAGGATGGGTGGAAGGATGGATGGATTTTTCAACATTTTCTTCACTTCTCTTGACTTTCTATCAGGATACCATAAGATCGATTTTTCTCGAAATTTCAAAACGCCATAACATAAGTCGGATCGAAATTTGGTTTGCAGATTCAGATCCCTTAGAAAATTCTATCCTTAATTCATAACTCATACGTTAAATTTAGAGAAGTTTTTATTTTGACCTACTTTTCAGACACCATATCTCAAAAGTGGGTCGAAATATTTTCTGACAGCAAAAAGCTAACACTATAAGCACACTCTTGGCTACATATATACCAAATTTCGAGGAATATAATTAAAGTGTAGTGTCAGAATCGAAAAAATGAGGAAAAGCTTTGAATTTGACCTAGATTTTGACCTAGGCCCTGGACTGGACTTGGACCTAGACTTGACTTGGACCTAGACAAACACTGGACTTGGACCTAGAATGGACCTTGACTTGAACCTGGAAATGGACTGGAAAGGTATTTTTTCAATTTTTTCACTTTTCTTGACTTTCTATAAGGTTATCATCAGATCGTTTTTTTCTCGAAATTTCAAAGCGCCATAACTTCCGAAACGGAAGTCGGATCGAAATTTGGTTTGCAGATTTGGATTCCTGAGAAAATTCTGTTCTTAATTCATAACTCATACGTTGAATTTGGAGAACTTTTTGTTTTGACCTACTTTCCGGACACCATATCTCAAAATCGGTAACAGTAATCAAATATCTGATGGCACATTATGAAAGGGCTGTTTTTAAGCTACATGATGAAAAAAAGACAAAGTTGTTTCGATAAATAACGACGAAGATAATAGACAGATTTAAGATTTGACCTAGTTCTTGACCTTTGACCTAGATAAAAAATTAACCCAATTTCCGAGAAACTAGATACTGAACCTAAATTGACCATATACAGGACTTGACTCAATGTATTCTAGTTAAGGAGAAAACGTGTGTAGAAGAATAAAGAAGAAGAAGAATACTGACAAAAGCTATAGACTCCAGATTTACATCCTGGTCCTGATCAACACAGGCTTCGCTATAAGTATTGCAGTAGCACATTGGTGGAGGAGGCCATGGTTCTTTACCATGCGTTTTTAGTGCGCTTTTGCTATTGAAAAGGTTGCCGCATTCATCGCACATGTGGTGTGTTGGAGCAGTTTCCTCCACTGGCTGTACGACAACCAGATCCATCTACAAATAGTTGTGATATATATTGAAAATAAAATCAAGATATCCATCATCTTGAGTAAACATCAGATTATCGTCGGGCATCAAATATTCACCATATACTACTGTAAAATTATATTTTTGTTGAATTGTTGTCCCAACTCAAGTTTATATGTAACCATATTTGTTTCTTCCTGATGTATCCAATGAGAGCGTTTAAGAAATATATGTAAAATATTAAAAATACACACATTCAAAATGATTCAATTAAAACTTAGCCAGTCTGTTCATTGAATCCAATTAGAACGTCTACTAATCCACATGATACATCATAATTAAATTGCTTTTTTAAAGCGGATATTTCATACCATAACCCCAAAAATATTATAAAATGCGTTGTATTTGTATTTTACTTCACACAGACATATTTGTGTACGTGAAATGATTATATTACTTGAATGTTTTATTCCCCATTATAAGGTAAACCTATGGCAATTATACATACCTTCTCACAGCTATGAGCGAGGTGATAAAACTGGTCGAGTGAACTCTTTTGAGTTATCTATTCGCTGTAAAATTATCAGAGAATGTGTGTTTATAGCGTTGCTTTGGTTTGGTAAATCAATGAAGTATGATATACACGGATGAGTGAATGTAGATTATTTAAACAAAGGTGCAAATTTCTTCCATTGAAAAGTACAGAGGCGGGTACTCACGAAACATTACATGTGCTTGACTGCATCCACATAGATCGACTAGCCACAGTGTATAACAGTACAACACACTTTAAATATTTTTTTCAATGATTCGATACGTTCAGTTTTGGACAAAACCACGATTGTTTCATACACCCTTTACAATTATAAACAACATTTTTAACCATGAGTGCATATATGCAAAGCAATTGTGATTCAATAGCCACCAAAATCATAACATTTTAATTAATTTTGTGAATATTGAATATATTGTGCCTCCAAACATTCAATGCTGAATTTCACATTAAATTGAATTTTATAATTTCATTTACCCCTTCCAATAGTTTAATTTTTCTCTATTTACCGAATTTACTAGGGTATGACATTCAGTACTTTGTCCCCTATGAGTTATTCAAGGGATATTGAAAGTAAAAGTACATAATAAAGTCACTATAAAATGTCACAACAGTTAAAGTGCCAATGAGGTAATTTTCTCTTTGTTTTGTTTCCCCATCGCGATAAATGCCTCTCCCCATTTGTCTCGATCTTTCTAAACGTAAGTAGATACTACTAGATGAGAGGGGGTCTGGTACACCAGAATGTTGTTTCCCTCTTGTTATTCATCGTTCATCGTTCGTTTTCTGATTTTCTGACTTTCCTGCTTCATTTTAGCAGAAAATTTCATCCCGCATTTGACAACTTTTCAACATCGGTCGATTTCCTCAATAAAGATGAGTTATTAAATGAGAGTAGTATTAGTAGGTCGAGTTGGATTTATTACTCTCATCAAATGTAATATTAATACTCAAATATGACCTTACCTCATTCATCTAAAGTTTAAATCTAAATCAGATTTGTGATATATGGACTGAATTGACATCTTTACTTCTAACGTTTATTTAATCGTTATCATAAAAGCGCTTGGATTAAAAGCATATTTCGTGCAAATGTAGGCAGTAGCACTGGCTTATTCTTAACATTGGGCTTCGCTTTACGAGGTAACAAAACAAGAACCATTAGCTGGAAAATGATTTTTGAATAATATTTGAAGCTTCTAGCACAATTTTGAAGAAAGTCGCATCAATTTTTGTTCAAAACAAATTCAAAACAAATCTTTAAAAAATTTGTTTTGCCTTGCTTATACCCGATCGCACCCTCCTGACTGAAAACCCCCAAAAATTGGTGATCGCACCCCCCCCCCCTCCCTGACTGAAAGCTGGCTACGTCCACAGATCCGGAGCCAGATCGAGCCCCTATTGCTAGTAGGCTCAATGAATAAATAAGTTATTTATTGAGCCTAGACGCCAAGAAGAGGTATCTGGCAGAGGTCCGTGGCTACACTGCTGATAACTGTGACTTTTAGAGTAATTAGATTCATATAACCTGTGCTTTTGAGGAAAATATTCGGGAACTCAGATTTTGTCTGAATTCGGCCATGTTTTTAAACCGATCTGGACTGAACTTGGACTGAGTCTTTGAGCAAAGTGAAACACAAGTGAGCCAAGAATGGACCAGGCTGTAACCGCAACTTTACTTTTTCCCAATGGTTCTTTATTGAAGAAATGATTCCAAATATTTGAAGGAAACTTTTCAGAAAAGTGAAGAACATGGAACGAATGGTACAAATAGAAATGACCTGGTAATTGATTTCGGAAAATATCAAATTTTGGTGATCTAAGTTAGGACGTTGAAAACAGTAAACAGCATGGTTTGACCAAAGGGAAAAATGGAATATGTTGATTTCAACAACGTACTTCATCGCATATCAACGCCGTTTCTTTTTTCAGAAGATACTGACATCGTTTAGAAAAACTTTTATATGGACCTATAAATGAGAAAAGAAGTCTTTCTCAAAAATCAGTCCGACATTTTGCAAAATGTGTACAGCAATGGGGTTCTAGTTCTAGTAAAATGGTAGGAGGTCCTATCAAATTATGGTCCTACTATCCATTGAGTTCTTTCCCTCATTATCTTGGCCAGTAAGGGCCGTTAAGAAGGGGGACCACAATCCCAGAGGGACCATAATTTCTTTCACACTGGGTTCTAGATCCTTGGTCCAAGGGTATTTTAATTTATTCCATATGAGCTGGGACAGCTGATGCCCGATTTTAAGGATGGGCTTCTAAACATGATTTTCTGGAGAGTTAGATCGATAACGTTATCGAAGCATATGCAAATTGTTTTAATGTAAAATCTTGTATTTTGGACCATATACTCCATGTATAGTCTATTGCTCGTGGTTTTACTTACTTAATCCAATTTTGGTTTAAATGTTCGGATAGCAGCAAAATGGGAGGGGGATATTTTGGAGCGAATGGGAACAATATTGGCAACCAATAAGATAATTTTCATCTCATTTCGTTATTCTACAGTTCTACAGTTATAAAAGAATAGATTTCTACTAATTGTATTTCCGTTTGATTATTAAGCAGTGGTCCCGGGGCAGTGGTCATGCAATTTATGAACACACAATAAATTAAACCATCATTGAAGTAAGAAGGATAATGAAATTTTATTTTTTTCTGGAAAACAATTGAAAAAGTGGATATCTCTTTTTTAATTCCGCGAATTGAATATTTCTGCATTTTAGATCTTCCAAAACTTCCATAAATCAGATATCTCGATGCTTATATCGGAAAGTCAAATTAGGATTGTAGGTGATACTTCCGGACTCTATTTCCCTCAGTCTTCAAACTAGAGCATAAATGTGATTTGGTACACGTCGAAGTTGAAAAAATGTAGAAATTCGAACACGCACATCATGTAACCATATGTGAATGAACCAACGAAAACAGTGTATCTTAAAAGAGAATTGTATGTTAAAAATTACCTGCGTCAGGGCCTGTATTTTGTCCTTGTGTCAATGCAATCACCGTCAATATCCAAATTCCTATTCTTCCATACATTTCTTTCCCAATACAAATCTAAACTGCTCTTTTTAGACATAAATAATCCCATCCATTTGATCAGAGCAGGCATAAATTTTACTAATCTAATATTTTTTCAATTCCATATTTCTAAAGAATAATAATTGTTATTCTGATAGAATTCAGCAAGTTTCATTTTGTTTTCGTTACAACCAAAAAACCAAATCAATGTAAAAATAACATTTGAATCAACATCATATCAACGTTGTGTAAAATATGCCGTTTAGTAGTTTAGCATAGCGAATGACAATTAAACCATCTAATTGTTTTTGTATTAACATAACTGTTCAATTCAATATGCCTGATTTTGTTTATAGCTAGGAGCAATAAAATAACAGTATTATGCTGTATGTATCGGGTCAATTGGATGCTTTGGGCATGATGATGGTTTAAATATATATCCAAATTGATAGATTGATACATTGATTGCCAATGTTAACTGTTACTGGAACATGCTGAGGTATTTACAGTAATTAATTTACGCAATTACGCACTTGTTAACTCGATCTATTAAATCAACACACCATCGGTTGAGATGATTGCTCGCACTCGCACTCTAGGAGCCTTTCATCAGTAAACAATTTTTGTGTGTTTATTTGTACTCGTCGTGGCTTACTCTAGTTGAACAACATTTATATTTGCTTCTTTTAGCTATTGGCAAAGTCCGAGGTATCACATTCTGATACTCATAGCATCTTTCTGTTTCACCTGAAACAGGGCTGAGAAGAAATGAGATGACATGGTTTATCATGATGGAGGTATCAAACTTTCTCGGAAGCCATAGCCATAAAATCTTCGACATGTACGACGGCCATAGCTTCACAAATTCTATTTAGAAAATCGACATCGTACTACTTATCCATATTTTATTGATGCATTTTTCTGTCGATTTTGGGAAGCTACGGCTGCCCTACTGTTGCCGTAGATCAAATGTGACTGAGGCATTATTCTATAAAACGTATCGAAGAAATTATATCAATTGACAATATATACATTCTATTTTGCAGAGGTCTTAGTTTATCGGACCACACACTCGTGATCGATCACAATAATGACATCTACATGTAAACCGGTGTGAAAGAAATTATGGTCAACAGGGATTATGGTCCCCTTTCTTAACAGCCCTTACTGACCCTGATTGCGTATAAGATAATAAGGGAAAAGGTCACCATATAAATATGTGAAGAGTAGGACCATATTTTGATAGGACATCCTACCCTTTTACACCGGCTTACCTTGTAGTAGTGACCAAGTAGTGAGTATTTATTATGTGCAAAAGAACAGATTTTCCGTCAATACTTATCATCCCTATTTGCCATACCTCCCAGCCCACAATGATGTGTATATGACAAATAAATCCAATATTAAGCGACCATATGGATGAACCCGGACGTGGCGGACAATAAACACCATAACACCCAGGTTATTCAACATGACTGATCAAAATAGAAATTAGAAATGGTATAAACCAGTTAAGTGGCCGGCGTATAATTCAACATGGGATACTGTGGGTTTGTTTTCATTGTGACGAGATACTACTGATACGGTCTAAGCTTTTTCTTATTCTGTATTTTGTAATAATCGGGTCGGTCTCCTCACCATCGATACCATGATCCCCAGCATTGGCACCTGTGCATGTTCCGATTTTTCCAAAAAAGCATATTAGCTATATTTCCAAAAAACATTGTCTATACAATATAAAACCAACAATAGTAGTATTCCAAAATTTCAGACGTCATGACGAAATCCTAAGCTTTTCAAATCATGTGCTACATCGCAAGTAACCTGTCAATAAACACTTCATCTACACTGCCTGGTGATCCGGTCGATTACGCTGGTTACCAAAACGCCGGTTCGTTTTGGTAACAAAATGTCGGAACGTCGAAGGTACGATTTTTCTTTTTTCCTTATTTCACGAGTCGTAAGCAGCATCCCCACAACATTTTTTCACACAGACGTGTATCAGTATCATATGTTTTAGAAAATGTACATCACAGTGTACATGATTGTGACAAAATAGCTCAGGAGTCTGAGACAACAGAATCGTCGATTTAATTCCTCACTTAAGTTACATAAACGGTAGGGGTTAAAAGTGCAGATCTAACTGTTTTTCGAAATACCGTTTATGCAATTTAAGTGAGTAATTGAATCGACGATTCCGCTGTCTTCTGATCTATTTGTTCGCAAATGTGTACATTTTCTTAAACATATCATATCGAATAAAATTGCAAGTAAAACAGCTTTTGAGACGTCCCTCTAATTTTCTAATTTTCCGCCACAGTAACTGAAGAAGTCCAATGGATATAGGACGAACTATTTTACGCAGGTTTTTCAAATATGTACGTGTTAGATGAACCTGTATAATACTTCAGTATTCTTTAACTTACAGATTTATATGGGACTTGGTCAGTACTCGGTGGGTACACAGAGACAAGATTACGGAAAGCGAAAGGGGATATACCGCAGAATTTAAAATTCAATGGAGTTTTAACATGGGAGTGATATCACACACCGCGGCCCAGTCAGATGGATTTCTGCGCACTTTATTTAATTCACTTTGCACAACGCGCCCCCTGTAATTCATTCAATGCGCGATTAAAAATTGGTTATGTACGGAAAGCTGTAGGGGACCTGCGCATAATTCAAAATCGAATGGAGTTTTAACATGGGAGTGATATCACACACCGCGGCCCAGTCAGATAGATTTCATCGCGCACTGAATGAATTACAGGGGCCGCGTTGTGCAAAGTTAATTAAAATAAAGTGCGCAGAAATTCCGGCATTCAGTGCGCGATGAAAAAATGATTATCTGTGAATAAATAACGAATAAAGATGCGTGGCACCACGAATTTGATTTTTTTCGAAAGACTGCGGAGTGAACCAGCGAAATGACAATTTTGGATAATATTGATGGCTCTAACGAGGAGAACTTTGAGATTTCCTGATTCTAGCGCGCAGCACATCCAGGACCATGATGCGCACTTTTATCAGATTCGATTCTAATATGGTTTCAAAGATAATGTTCATTAAGAGAGGGCGTATGCATAACGTGGCGTTATGTTGAAGTGACCCTTGCAAAGGGTTCCATTGAAAATATATTATTTTGGGCCATTTCATATCTTTTAATTGATATTGTATAAAATATTTTCAATGTTTGAAAATTATAATCTTATAAATAACATTTTATGTAATAAAACTGTAACGAAATGGTAAATACGGAATACGATGCAATACAATGCAGTGCAATATGATGTTTTATTCCATAGTTAGCATGATATTCATAGGATAACATGTGAAAATAAAAACGGTATTTTTGAAATCAGTGGTAAAATATGATATTTTTGACAAATTCTCACTTAACCATAACATACGTTTTTTTAGCCATGACATACGACGTCGTATGCGATGGTTAATGGATTTTTGCTACTTCAGACTCAAAACGAGGCTAAGTGTCAACATCGCCGGATCGTTTGGAAATTCGAATTAAATAACTTAATTTCCGACGATTCTGATGATGACTTTAACTATGGAATAAAAAGAACATCCTATGATTTACTCGTGTTATGATTTTAATCCACTCATGGATATTGATATCTGCACTCTCTCGCTACGCTCGCTCGTGCAGATATCATATCCATTCGTGGATAAAAATCATATCACTCATAAATCATAGGATATCCTCTATATACAATGCAGTGCAATATGATGCAATACAATGTGGTGCAATATGATGTAATACAATGCGGTGCAATATGATGCAATACAATGCAGAACAATATGATGCAATACAATGCAGTGCAATATGATGCAATACAATGTAGTGTAATATGATGCAATACAAAGCAGTGTTATATGATGCAAAAAATGCAGTGCAATATGATACAATACAATGTAGTGCAATATAATACAATAAAATGCAGTGCAATACGATGCAATACAATACAGTGCAATATAATGCAATACAATGCAGTGCAATACAATACAATGCAAAACAATACCGTGCAGTGCAATACAATGTAGTTCATTTCAATACAATGCAGTGCAATACAATGTGGTACAGTGCAATACAATACAGTGCAATACAATAAATCGCAGTTCAATGCAGTACAATACAATGTAGTGCAATGCAGTGCAATAAAATACAATAAAGTGCAATTCAATACAATGCAATACAACACAGTGCAATACAATACAATGTTGTGCAATACAATACATTACACTGCAATAAAATACAATGCAGTGTAATAAAATGCAGTGTAATTCAAGACAATGCAATACAATACTGTGCAATACAATACAGTGCAATATAATACAATGCAATGCATTGCAATGCAGTGCAATACGATGCAATACAATACAGTGCAATATAATGCAATACAATGCAGTGCAATACAATACAATGCAAAACAATGCCGTGCAGTGCAATACAATGTAGTTCATTTCAATACAATGCAGTGCAATACAATGTGGTACAGTGCAATACAAAACAGTGCAATACAATAAATCGCAGTTCAATACAGTGCAATACAATGTAGTGCAATGCAGTGCAATAAAATACAATACAGTGCAATTCAATACAATGCAATACAACACAGTGCAATACAATACAATGCTGTGCAATACAATACAATGCTGTGCAATACAATACATTACACTGCAATGAAATACAATGCAGTGTAATAAAATGCAGTGTAATTCAAGATAATGCAATACAATACTGTGCAATATAATACAATGCAGTGCATTGTAATGCAGTGCATTGCAATGCAGTGCAATACAATATGGTGCAGTGCAATATATTGCTGTGCAATACAAAACAATGCAGTGTCATACAATACAGTGCAACACAATGTGGTACAGTACAATACAATGCAGTGCAATACAATACATCGCAGTTCAATACAGTGCAGTGCAATACAATACAGTGCAATACAATACATCGCAGTTCAGTGCAGTGCAATACAATACAGTGCAATACAATACATGGCAGTTCAATACAGTGCAATACAATGTAGTGCAATGCAGTGCAATAAAATACAATACAGTGCAATTCAATACAATGCAATACAATACAGTGCAATACAAAACAATGCTGTGCAATAGAATACAGTACACTGCGGTACAATACAATGCAGTGCAATAAAATACAATGCAGTGTAATAAAATGCAGTGTAATTCAAGATAATGCAATACA